GCTGGCTTGCTTGCTGGCTTGCTTGCTGGCTTGCTTGCTGGCTTGCTGGCTGGCCTGCTTGCTTGTTAGCTAGCTAGCTAGCTAGCTTGCTTACTTACTTGCTTGCGTCTCTGCAACGAAAACAACAAGAAAAGCAAATACAAAAAGAGCAAGGAGAACAACTGCCAAAAGAAAAAAAGATAGATAAATAAATAAATATAGGTATAGACAGATAGATGGATAGGCCAAAAAGCCAAAAGCCACAGAAGCCACGAAAGCCAGAAGCCACAGAAGCCAAAAGCCACAAAAGCCAGAAGCCACAGAAGCCAGAAGCCAAAAGCCACGAAAAACAAAATAAATTCCAAAAAAGAAACCAAAAAAAATCCAAAAATAAATACCCCTCCAATTTCCTTAGGAATTGGCTACCTAGGTCGGCGTGTGGCACCGCATTCACATCAGTACGCATTTCTATAAGTGTGTCCTAGAGAGGTTGACACAAATTCCTGAGCTGCACACCCCGGGGACAGCTCTCCGACGCTGGGCTCGATCTCCAACTCGTGGTCGAAGCGGAAGAGCTTCCGTGCATCCCACCTGGCGAGGCCCGTGAGGCGAGGTCCGACGCACGAGGCCCGTGAGCGGCGCCTAAAGCTGAGGACAAAGTCGGAGGTGTAGTTCACCAGCACAAGCCTCACCAGAGGTGGAGCTGTTTATTTCCTGTTCTTTTGAGAGTCCTCCAAAGTCTAAACAACCTCCAGAGTTCTTTTTTGCAGTACCAAGCCACATCTCAGAGTGACGAGCTCGAAGTGGCACTGCTTTGAAGTCAAGGATCTCGATCTTGGCCACTGGGGCATTGCAGCATCAAACAAGGTCGAGGTGGTCAAGTGTCAAACAAGGCCTCCCTTCATTTTGGGACGTTGCACCAGAACCCTCTAAGTCTGTGAGTGTGAACCCTGCAGAAATTGAAGGCCCTGCTGTAGCAAACTCCAAAAGAAGCGTCTAAAGTCTCAAGTGTCAGCCGCAGGTTCCCTGATCCGGTTTTCATGTGCTCCATTATCCACGCCTCTGCTCGCGAATATCAAGTTCCAGTTATGTAACCCATCAGTGGCAGTCCAGGGGAAAACAGTCTGTCAAGTACGCTAGTGAAGTGGCAAAGTCTAGGAACAGTTTTGTGCATGAATTGATCTATTGGACGGCCAACCAAACCCAACAGCACACTGCAATGTATGCCATCGAATCAAATACAGCAAGCACTGAATTAACACATCGTGAAAAATGCTTCCCTGATTGGAAGCTGAAGTCCAGATCTCACATACACAAGCTGAGAGGAGATCCGATAAAGCCGCTCCATATCCCGGTACTGGCCTGACAAACACGTAATGCGCCATGGAGAATCCCACCAACTTGTGATCGTAGAACCAGGTATTGTACCAGGTACGGGCACAGCAGACACTGGTGACACTCAGCCAACCTCTTGTGACATGACTGACGTGGCAATTGAGTCAGCAGTTCACGGTTGATCACAACTGAGGGATACTGGGAAGTCTTACTCGGGAACCATTCCAAATGCGGTTGAGATATTCTGAGCTGAGCTTGTCACGCATAAGTCTGAATCGGAAGGTTTGCTGGAAACTGAGCTTCCACCTGCAGCGCTGCTCAGCAACATTACAACGAAACGGTTCAATGAGATTTCCTGATGCGATACATCGTCAAACCGCTCCAGGGGTGTCCTAACACTCCCTGCCTCCGGAGGAGAGTCGCCTGGCATGTAGCCATCAGCCTGGGGCGCGAACAAGGCCGCGCGCAAGAGCCGGCGCACCACCTTCGTCGTCCGGCTCGCCTGGATATCAAAGCAGAGCTCTTCAGAAGGTCGTCCATCCTGTGGAAATAGCGGCGCTCTTTGGTCGAGCCAAGCTGCTGGGCGTCCTTGCTCCTAGTAGCGATGCCCTTTGTTCCTAGTAGCGTCCTTGCTCCTAGTAGTACGACCAGGAGCCCCTAGTAGCTTCTTGTTCCTAGTATATTTCACAAGCGGTCTTGAGGAAGTTCTGGTTAGATCGAGTTGGGGCGAGCGGGGCACATTCCGCCTTCAGCATTTCCAAGCGCACTGGACAAGTGTATCTTTTTGCCTGTGAGCAAATAACGAGCATGTCCAAAATTCAGGTGAAGAAGGAGTGGAAACGAGCATTCTATGTATCATCTTTGTTGGGGTGACGTGCCTCCAGCGGCCTAAAGGTGAAGTGCAGAAAGGTCGAACTTTGTGGGTCGAGCGTTCCTTCCAAAGGCTTTACCGACAGGACCTGCCAAAACCAACAAGAGCTAGATGATTGAAAAGCGCCAAAAGCAAGTGAGATACAGGCTACTGGCCTACCTCGAAATTGTGATTCTGCGCGTTGTACGAGGATAGTGTTGAGAGGTCAACTCCTCACAGATTGCGCCAACGAACTGGACTCTGAGTCCACTGTGCGAGCTGTAGTTCTATCTCCAAGTGAGCCATTCTTGAACTAGGCTTTCTATGGCTTTCTTACTTCAGTTATCGTAGGTCTCACCAGTCTCAGACTCCCACGCCACGGTGCAGCCACTCCACCACTGTTGGTGAGCTCTACTGCTTGGACCACACCCTGCTCTCCTGCCGACATGAAACAACATGAAACGACTCAGTCATGTCATGTGGTTTTGTTTCTTGTGCCCATCGTCCTATGGAGGTTTACCTTCAAGGCTTATAAATATTCATTGGTGCTCTTAGTATGTCTTGGAAGCACTTCTTCTAGTAGGGCAAGTGTTCACAGTTGTGTATTTGATCAAGTAAAGAAAACCAACACAGTGCTAACTATAGAGGCTCCCCATGCGCGCCGCTGCTCCTAAGGGTACCGGCTGAAGGGTCAAAACGGATGACCGGACAGAGAGGCATCCCACCTGGCAAAACACACCTGAGACCTTTTGACTTGCCACAAAGCTCTTTATCAAGACCGAAGGCAAACAAAAGCATGGCTGATCTACCACAGGTGCCACGCTGTGTCCCTTGAGGTAGAACAGCACAGAGCGGCCATCGTGCACCTCGCTTTAATGGCTTCTAAAACAGCCAAGAACAAATTCATCCTTGAGACTGGCAGGGTATGAAACCCTCTCATTGACCATGACCTTCAGGAGCAATGGAAGGGCCACATCGGCTTGCTTGCTGATGTTGATCCCTTTTCAAAACGCCGCTCGCAGCTCACCCTTCGGCTTTTTGAGCGCGGCACATTGAAGACCACAGGTAGGATATGCGTGCCAATACTGTGGTGGTGATAGGTCAACTTGACCTGACGCCCAGTCCAGGTTCCGCAGTTTCCAAAGGCATACATGTAGTACAAAATACTGTCACAATTCATATTGCATATCCAAGAAGTGTGTTCACTCTGAAAGGAAAGCCGTTCACTTCGTTCGGGAGCCAACCAAACATCCATGGAGTTCGCACATGTTTCTTCGTTCCAAGCTCCTCGCATGCAAGAAGTCTCCAGGGGCAATTGCGCCCGTTCTGGGTTGGATGTCATAAACACCATGCTCCTCCACCTGGGCAAGGCCAGTTCTCTTCGCTGGTGACCGGTTTTTGTTTGGAAACTGGGTAAGAAGCAGAGATCGGATTCTTTTGCGAGTGGCAACCGTTCTCAGGGCTGAACCCAAGTAAAATGTGCTTCACGCTCATCAACCAATGCCTTCTCATCACACCTCAAAGGTGCATCAAGTGCTCAGTATGCTGATAGTGACTCTAAGCAGTGCTTGGGCAAGGACCAGTATGGCACATTCTCCAAATTCAGATTCTCGGGCGTTTGGAATGAGAACCTTGGATATATTAGATAGTTGCTTCACAATATCAAAAGTGCCGTTCGCAGTCTTGGGCTTTTCAAGAAATCCCAATCTGCGCTGGCCTGATCGGCAAATATCCAGGGTTTGACAAAGCCAGGTACACCACAGTCGCACCTTGAAACACAGTGTCGCTGCTCGCCATCCCAGCAGCTCTGGTGCTTGACATGCCAAACGCAAAGAGTTTCTCTCGGTGCTTGACTGGACTCAACGGCAGAAGTTCCAAAAAGAAGCTGAAAGGGCTTGAGCTGCCTGCAAATTTCAGGTTGTTGTTGTGGGGTCCAGAGGGGTAAGTGCGGCAAGTGCTTCTTCAGCTGCGAATGGCTCTGACAACCGTTCAGTCGAAAGTGTAGTCGTACACTCAGAAAACAGAGAGTGTAGTCGTACACTCAGAAAACATACTTTTGGTGCAGCAGGCGCCTGACAAGGCGCTTCTTCTCATCAATTCCGATGGCATTCTGCGGCGCCGATGGATGAAGTCAAGCCAATGCACAGCCAAACAATGGAGAGAACATCTGAGACATATGCACAGCATACTATATAACACTATATTAAAGAATCTGCAAAGTAGGAAAAAAGTGATGGAAAAAAAGTATATGTAAATGGTAGGAGTCAAGAGCTTTCTTTTGTTCTTCTCTTTTGCCCTTTATCGAAGAATCTGCACATCGCACCTGGAACTTGCGCTCAACGTCTACAACTTCGCCCTGGTACAGGTCGTTGATGCCATCTACCTGTGGAGTCAGCACTAACGCTTTGTGCAAGGCTGACGAATGCGCCGAAATGTGCGTTCGATGAGAGGCCTGGAATTGAGTCCACATCATCGACTGAGGCTGCAGAGTGGCTGACCTCAACCGTTTCGATCCTTTCGGACTCTTCAGCCCAACTCAAGTTGTCCCCTTTGTTTGGCGGCCGTAGAGGGAGGTAGTAGCTATATAGAGGTAGCTAGTAGGAGCTACAAGAACGCTACTACCTAGGACGCAGGATAGCTCACGCTAATGATTTGGTTCCTAGATGTTCAGGAAAACTTAACTCGTGAAGAGACACAAGTGTACATACTTTATCATACTTTATCATACTTTGCTACCTAGGATATAGGATTCTGGTCTTGGGTAGCTAGGTAGTTGTATTAATTAAGTAGGTGCCCATTCAAGTAAGTAAGGACGCAGGATAGCTCACGGGCTCCTAGGTTTCTAGGAAAAAAGAAAAATGGTCACCCATCACTCAAGCTGTCAGTGTCTTGCTCAAAAAAGATTGTCGAACTGGACTCGGACTCAGTTCGAAGGTCCGCGATCTGCACGTAAGGATATTGCGCCAACGCGGACTGGCATGGTGAAGGGTGAAAGAGTCAACTTCAACGGTCAAAGAGTCAAAGTCGTAAATCAAAATCCCAAGGCTGATTGATCTCTTGCTGTAATTAGTTTTATCGTCCTTGGGGCTTCAATTGGCAGCTAATTCTCCAGCATTGTCAATGGAGTGCAGGGATCACCAGTGTGAAAGTGACACTCTTTCCACTGGGCTCGTCTGATCCTTCGCCTTTCGGAGTAACGGCCACCTTGCAGCAACGTCATGACTTAAAAAGCCGCAAGAGACTGAGACTGAGAGTGCCGTCTCTTTCGGATGACCGCACGTGGTTTTCCTGGCCCTTAGGCCTTAGGTGTGACGTGTCCGAGACGTACTCGAGACGTGTCCGAGACGTGCCTCATACACGTATTCTCCACGACCTCAGAGCTGCATTTATCCCGTTTAAGCCCTGCTTCAGATTGCCTGAGGTGCCAACAGGGCGGATGGAAGGTGATGTCAAGAGTAGTAGTGCATCTACCTGGACCAAACAGGAGAAAAGTCCATCGCACTAAGCCACAATGGCACCATGAGGCCTGCGACTGAGCCCACGGTGTGCCCGACTACCAACGCTTCGTCCTGAGTTTCGTCAACATGATCCTGATCAAGAAAGGTTAATTATTAGGGGGTTCAAGGTATCTAAAAGAATAGAATCTTAGACCAATGCAGTGTTCCAAGTTCCAAAGGAAAAAGATTGCTTGATCTGGCAACCTGGGGCCATGGCTGCTGAATTTGCGGCAGCTGGATCCCTGATACCAGAAACTGGAACGGGAGTACATCCCATGCAACCTCTTCAACTCACAAAAATATGATCGTACTGCCCCCGATTGTTCCCCTTTGTCTGACCATGGAAACCGGATATTCAGGCGCTCGCTTGCCAACAAACTGAGTGGAAACCTCATACCGGACCTGGCCAGCATTATGATGCAGAAGTCTTGAAAAAGAAACAAGAGTTGGATGTTGTAAGTACCTGCTGCGAGACAGAACCGCATCTGCTGTCCACTGTCCACTTTGCTTTCTCAGCTTCTCACTGTGAGCTGAGATGAGTTGAGGATAACCACCTGCTGGGAGAGCATCTGGGTCAAGTTTGGAAGTGAACTAGAAAGCCATGGCTCAACAACAAGCTGGACCTGAGCTTTCAAAACAGGGAAGCTCATGGTTGGAAACTACTGTTGTCCACAAAGGCGTTCTCGTCGTCTCACTGTCCGATGTCCAACACGAGGTTTCACCACACGTCCTCCTGTCGATCTGCCTGCCGCTGAAGAGTCTCGCATGCCTTCACGGCACCCAAGTCAAGGCCATCGGGTTCCAAGGACAATGCGGGACCTGAAAGGTGCGAGACATGACGTGCCCAGGGCCCCAGGGGGCCCCGGGGCCCAGCAAGTTCAGGCACCAGGAATAACCGAATAACCAGAGGTGCCCAGCTCCACTACAACCCACCTGACCTGAGTTCTATTTTCCTTTCTGTTTGTTCCTGTGGAGATAACACAAAGCTTACGCAACTGCTTGCGCCACGTGAAAGGTAACTTCCGCTGAGTTTGCACGACATTAGTTTCCGAGCGTGTCTTTAAGGTTCGCTTCCACACGCAGGTTATGTAGCATCATGCACTATCTATATTGGTTATATAATTACATATATTATGTACCTATAATATATCCTTGCGCACAAAAAGTGCTTCCGCAGAGCTTCGGCAGCGCAACTGCAAAGGGTGCAAAGAACAGGCATGACCAAACCTTCTAAGGTTCCACTTTCGCTTTCAGACCTACTACTGTGTGCACCCTGCAAGGTTCAGCTCATCAGTTTTCCTGCGCAACCGCATCGCCCTGAGAGCGAGTGGCAACAGGTTGATTCAGGGCTCAAGGAGCTATTCCAATGAGCCAATTTTGCTGAAATTGGAACCACACACAGCTGTGACTTGCAGATGTCAAAAGCAAATCACAGGATTCTTTGGGTCGAGTGGAGGGATTCGAGCATAATGGCCCCTGGCTTCATCCGTTTCCGTTCCAAAGAAAACTTCAACAGTTCCAAAGGTGACTTGCCTTCTGCTTTCCGAAGGAAGTGGTGGCGGGTCATCGTCGGTGGCACCCACAGGCAACATCATCGGAGGCTCCCCGAATGGGAGATTCCAAGGAGGCTGCTCCGCTGGCGAAGCAACGAGCAGCTGTCTCTCCTTCTTCTGACGTTGACTTTGCACATCATTCGTCATGCCACGCTGCGCCCCATGAGCACCCAGCAAGTTTCGGCACTGCAGCCATGGCTGCCATTCCATCCCCCGAAGGCGCATCTCCACCTGCCAGTACTCTGCCTCATCTAATGGCGTGATGCCATACTTGTCTGCTGCATTGAGATCAAAGCCCAGCTCTAGGAGGCACCGCAACACCTCAACCGAGCCCGCCTTTGCTGCTTCGTGGAGTGCAGTCTTCTGTGACTTATCTCGAAAGGCATTCTGACTAGATGCCCCCTCTGCCACTGCTCTCCTGACTCCTTCCAGGTTTCCCTCTGCAGCTGCCGTCTTGAGTCTTTTTTCTGGAACCCCTCGGTACTGTCTCGTCGTAGCAAGCACCATATGTCTGGGCGAGGCAAAAGACCGGGACTTGGCGAAACAGCACGCAGGTCTAGTGGAGACTGGAAGGTCTGAGTCTTGAGGCAGAGTGGCTGACAAATCCGTGTCACAAGATGTTCTAGTTTCTTTCTTTGGAGGACCAAGTGCTCTTTGCTCTCTGGAGAGAGTTCTATGATTGCTTGACACCACTTTGATGACTAAGCACCAAATGAACTCAACAAGCTTACGGCATCAGGCCCACCTTTCCCATGTCCAACCAGCTGCAGCACATAGGACTGGCAGCATGACAGGTCGTGTCATTCTTCAGTCCTCGTCCTCAACTAGGCAAATGTAGAACAGCAAGCGCTTTTTCCACAGGTCAGGAATGCCGGCTGATCATCATGTGAGGTAGAGGCATCTACAAGAGCCTCGGCAACGGCGGCACCACAGCCGATCGACTGAACAGGTCGACTGAGAGGTCAGAGCTCGCAATGGACCTGCCACGATGTTATCAGGATCCTGCCAGATCACAGAGGTCAGAGAGGGCCCAGAGGGCTCAGAAGGCTTGAACTTGACTATCCCGGACTATCCCTTCCTGCTTGAATGAAGAATGCTTAAGAATGGGTCATGGACTCACCACACGAGGTATCAAGTTCTCATTCTGCGACTCAAACATCCCTGCCCTCCTTTAAACACTGCGTAGCACAGTACATTGGAGAAGAGAATACTCGCCTAAGTGCTGGTCCAAGAAAGGCTGATAGATTGAAAGCGTGGTAGGAATAAGTTGTAGCACCTCTACCAATCCTCCACTAAGGTGGAACTCACAAGTCTGAGTGCCCCAGAACATCTGTCTTTGAAAGCTTTCACAAGGACCAAGCAAGCTTGCTGGAATAAGCCACAGGCTCACTGGAAGGGCAAAAATTTGCCACTATGCTCGTGGATTCGGACGGTGCCAGCCTCGGATGGGGCATCCAGGGCGCCAGGGTCACCCCCATCTGTACAGAGGGGAGGTCTGGGCGTCTGACTGGCCAGCAGGTTCCGTGAACCTCGAAAGACCGGGTGACGGACTGGTGACGGATACCCGTTTGTGTTTGAGAGTTTGAGATACGGTTGGTACAATAAGTTATGATGATACCAACTTATTGTGGTATTTATTGTTACTGGTTGGTACCAACTGACATGGTTGGTACATTGTCAGCCTCCACAATCAGTTCATGCAAGTTTGGCATGCTTAGCATGCCCCTCAGCGATCCAGTCCAAACTCCAAAGACACTACAGCTCCACCCTGCAGGGAAGGCACCAAAAGGTGGAGCGGAAACGGCTCGGAATTCGACATTCATACCTGGCAAAAATAGGCAGATCTTCAGGTCAGCAAGGAACCAGCGTTCTGTTTCACCAGAAGGCATGACGGAAAGGCTTTTTGACCTGTTGAATTCCAAGCTAGAACCAAAGTAGGTGGAGTATGAACATAAACAACAGCGTGACACCTTCGTGCACATAAACCATAAAACAAGCTGTTGGGAATTCAAGTATATGGCATATGGCATATATGGCTAGAGACCGCCAAGCGCAAACAATGGAACGCATCAGCTGAAGTGTGTGCACCACCACATAAGAAACATTGAACACCTCTCACATGCTGGGCTCACGAGATAGGAATCTCGGACACGTTCTTCACTGAGCAGACCTTGCTGTTGCGTGGCCAACAATCTGTGCTATAGCGTCAAAGGGATATTTTGGCTGCCGACCATTGTGGAAGCAATGCCAGAGCACCTTACAACAATAATCGTACATGCTGTAAAGTCAGAAACAAACACTTTCTGTGGTCAGGATCGTGTCAAGGCTCTTGCAAAAAGAAATGAACATGATTGCGAAGAGCGTCACAAGCAAGACACTAACAAACTCCGACATTTCATACCTACTACTCAACAGAACATCAATTTACTGAGCGAAATGGTCCGCTCTACATCCGCTTGCCGACGCCAATCTAAACAGTCGCCGAAAACAAAGCAGGAAACATGGTCCGGTCCGCTTGGTGGCGCACGTGGGCGGAAAGGTCACGCTCATCTGGCCGCTGCAAAATGACAGTTGCGGCTTCCAAGCCTCAGTAAGTTGCCATCAACTTGTTTCTTCTTCAATAGAGGAAAAATCACCTAGATCACTTTGGTTTAAGCAGAAATCATCACCATAGCAGTAGGGAAAAGGAACAGGTCTTGGAGCTCACAATGCCACATCGCACAAGATCTAGCCGCTGGCCAAAGCTGGGCTGGCCACTCTTCCAGATACTCGAATGGTCTTGGGTCCACTTTCAAAGTAATCTGCCACCTCAGCGTCACGAAGTTCTACCAAGTTCTTCCACCGAACCTGCGAGCAGACTTGCGAAGAACGACTTGGGCCCCAACGACTTGGAAGTTTGCAACATACGGTACATCGTTCTTCGCCACCTAAGTCAAGGAAGCATATAAGCATAGACTCACACACACAGTTTGATTTATTAGCACTAGGACAATTCAATGCGAATTATTCAATCTCTGGCAACTGTTGGAAGATTTTGATCATCACAGCTGCAAAGGCTCGTGCAGTTGGTGCAAACTCCAAAACAATCAAATGAAACCTCAGGAAAAGTTCTCTCTCGAATCAGCCTCCAGTTCTTAGGTTCTCAGTAGGACTTATCGTGACCGTGACCATAGCATGCACAAGTTGTTTAATGAAGCTCCTAGCAAATCTTTGCTCAAGCTTCGGTTCAACGAAGCAGCAAATAATGGTTTCAGCAAGTCAATGTGCCAACTGGGCAAATCACTGGTGAGGATGAATGATTCCCTGCGTTGGCCAAGCGCGGAAAGGTGCCTGCGATTTGCTCAAACAAACTTCAGTTCTATTAAATTTGCCGGGCAAATCTTGGAGACATCTGGAAACAAAGATGTTGCCAGAACCAACAAGAGAATCAACCCCGAATGGACCTTTTTCGGACCATGCCTACAAATGGGTATAGGTTGAAGCCAGCAGACCCGAGTCAAGACGTAAAGTTGAGCAACAAGGGAGATGTCAACCTAGCTTTGGGATTCGAGGTTTTGGCCCATTCTGGATTTGTCATCTCACCTCTCCAGCAAGATCCTCAAAGTTGCCAGAATCTCCATCACCTCACAGAACGGCTCAGAAGCCAGGCCAATCCAGTTCAAATCCAGGAGTGCCCACCTTTACTGATGTCCACTGCAGGGAGTATCTGATAGCTCAACGGCATGTCTCCAGGATTTGTCATCATCACCACCTGATACCTGTCATCGCATTGTGGCTCTGAACAATGCTGAATCTGATATTGCCAGCAGGCGCACGTCCGCTCACCAGGAGGACAAGATTTGAATCTGACATTTGTCCTTAAGCTCCGTGATTGAATTTGAATAAATCCAAAATGGTTGTTGTCAGATTGCAGGCTTGCACAGCCTGGGTGGTGCTTACAAAAACATGATTTCATACTAGTGATCCGGTTGCTGAGGAAGGAGCTCTGAAATATCCACCTGGGTGTCCGTTCTGGCAGCCATCGTGTGCCCCATCCTAACAAAACATTCGCATCCACAACGGCTGCGCAAAAGGATGTGAGGTGAAACCCCTGGTTTCCACTCAGCAGCAGGCCCTCTAAGTGCAATGGTCCATGGCGGTGTAAACCTGCGAGAATTCCAATGCCAGGTGTTGATCGATGCTAAAAAGCACCATGGCCTTTGCAAATCAACGAGTCTAAAAGTTCGGTTGATCTTCTGTGCCACCACCACTTCCAACAACTCTCCCTGGCAATGCGATTCAGCTTCAGGTCAAAATGCAAGCTGGGTTTCCATCAAGTGTCTGCCCTGTGTTCTGAAGTCCGTTTAGCACCAGTTATTAAAAAATCAGTCCATCTGCCCTGACTAGACTAAGAGCGAGACTTCCACAGTGTTCGAACCTCAGATGCTTTGGAACTGCTGTGCTCAGTCAAGTCCGAAAAGTTTCTCCACGTTCATTGCCATATTGCTGCTCAAGCAATGCCGCTGCAAACGCGCAGTCGCAGTCTTCTTCATGACATATGAAAGAGTGCCACTGGGTGCATTGAAGTGGCTCTGTGGTCGAAAAGTTACCTGAAAATCCATTTGCCCTTTTGGCCTTGGTAAGAGGACAACACAAAGGTGCTCCAACACTACATTCAGCATGCTTTTTGTCGAGGTCTGTCAATCATCGGCTTTGTCCATAGCATGAACTCACATTGAGAATGCAGCAGCATATGAGACTTGGTGGGAGCTTGGGTTCGTGCCTGATGTCACATGTCGGTGGATAGACCTCATGGGGACTTGCAGGACAAAGCACTTCCAACTTCCCGTGCAACAGTCGTTTTGTGGCGCTTGCTGTGCACACTGAGAAAACAGAGACACTGGCCGAGAACAAGGACTTTTCATCTGGGACGCATGGAAGGCGCCTTGATGCACAGAAGCCACAGAACCTTTCTTGGCACAGCTCATCCGAAATCTTGCAAGCTGGTCCAAGTCAGGTCCCCGACGTCTCCCCAGCAATCATCCAAAGCACAGTAACCTGCAAAGGAAAGGACACTCAGACTCAGCTGCTGTATCTCTTCAGCACATCAGTGTGCGACTCTTGGCTTGGGGAGAACCACATTGTTGCTGAGCACCGCTGGATTGGCTCCAGCCTTTTGAGAGGTGCGATTGGTGATAGTCACTGTCTGCTTCTCCGAGGTGGACATCACCTCAGGTAGTCAACCAAAGCAGGCGAAAGGACTCCAGCTGTGGGCTGGAAGACACGATGATCAAGGTGTGGGAACAGCAAGTTTACAAGTAGAACCTGCTCTGTGGACAGCACGGAATTTTGCCCGAAGTCAAGATTTGCTGGGCTGATGGTAATGTCCTGCAGGGAGCAAAAGTGAAAGTGGACAGCCTGCACTCCTTTTATGTTGTCTTACTCTGGCACTCTGATGTTTCCAAAGGAAAGTAAAAGGGAACGAGACCTTGACAAAAGCTGCATTCATCTCGTTCTTCGCTCTACAAAACAAACTCACCCATCTCTCCCTCAGCTTCGAGTCGGTGGGCAACATCAAGTCCTGCGCTCGTGCGACGGACGCGGACTCGATTGGCCAACCCCGTCGTTGCATCTGGTCACCTGCGTCTCGATTGCATTCATTGCTGCAAAGCATTGTGGGACATTGTATGTCAAGTGCATTGCATCTACAATCGGAGGCTTCCTTGGTGGACTCAAGGGTTAACCCTTTGCTTGACATGTCTCCCGACTGCACAAAGCTGCAGCTAGCAAAGACGCCCGTCCAGGAAAGCTGCTGTAGCTGACAGTGGCTTCACTTCAACCTGCACAAAGCTATGGACCACCAGGGAGGTCAACCTGATTCACGGCTACTGGAGCAGGTGTGAGGATGATCTACAAACCCGTTGCTCTGGGAGCAGGTGTGGTAGATACCTATATATGTACCAAAACGAGGCAATATGCAAGACATTGCAGAGACATCAAACACGCGGAGTGGAAGTTCAATGGAATTGATAAGTTCGAGTGACGAAAGCGTATCCGATGGTTCCAAGTATGCTCACTGTGGGATCAAAATTGTTACAATGGGTCGTTTTGCTCGAAAATACCTAGGAACTATATCTTGGAGCTCCATTCCTGTTCTTGATTTTGATCCACATCAACCGTCAGAGGCATCATCTCCAAACGGCTATATATATATATATGTTCAAATGTTGAGCTGGCTCCCTAGAGAAACAAAGACTTTCCGATGCAATAAGCAGTCACGACTGTCTTGGTGAACTACTTCACACAAGCTTGACCGACTATGCACAAACGCTTGAAGGGTTGTTACAAAGTGCTTCAGAAGAATGATAGCAGTACTCTAAAGATCATAGGATACAATAGTAGGGTCAGGCCCTGTTGTTATACCAAACCTCCGGTGCAGCAGGATCCAACTCTTCTTGTGGAAGCTCATCATCCAGAGAATTTGCCTCCACAAGCCCAGCACCAAAACCAAGCAAGTAAGCAACTCTCTTGAAGACCTAGGCCCTGTCGGGCCCTGTCCATGCAGTCCCCACCTCAGGAGCTGTTTCCACCAGCTGATGCTCGCGAACCTTACCGCAATACATGCGTATCCGAGCCTTTGTTTCTATATTCTCTCACAGAATTCTTTGGTGTCCAAGCTTTGTCTTTGCGCATATCACCAATCTCCAGGGTCTCAAGAGAATCGTTTAAGATATATATATATTCTGTGGACAGATTTACACTTTAGTGTCTACGCTTAGTGTGCGGAGCCATCCACGATCTCCTTTCCTGGTCAGATTGATGACGCAAAAATCGTGCAAATTGGCCATGCGCTTTTAGTAATGTATCATGCACACCTTCAAAAAAAAACTCGACAAAACAAGAGGTATGGATGTGCAGTGTTGAAAGTACCCTTTTGGGGGTCATCTACTTGAATCTACCTTTGATGACTAGAGGGAGCTGCTCGGTTCATGGTTTGCCATGCAACCCCGAACCTTTCAACTCCGGTCGCTCCAAATGGGCACCCCGACCCCGGACAGCTGCATGTTCCGAAAAAGGTCCACATGGTGCTGCTCAAGCCTGTGCGCAGGACGACGTCTCTCAGGCATGAATCTGCCGCAAACTCTCTGTGAAAGGGGTTTTCATCTTGTGCATGCTTCTTGAACAGTGGGCTGACGATTGGATCAGCTGAAGCCAGGCAGGTATGTGTATAAGTACAAAGTAGAGGGCAAGCGGCAAGCAGGCAGGAAGAGGGAAGCAAGGCTTCATGTTGAAGGGGCAATAGGCCTGACAAAAAGCTTCACATCACATCGCCGAGTGCTCACGATGCAGGGACAAGAAGACGGAGCATCGCTCAGAGTGGGAGCTTCCCAAGCGAATCTTCGGAGAACGCGCCGAAGCCGCAAGCGAGCTTGCTAGTACCTTGATTACCATGATTGTCAGTGTCTGCTCATCAGGTTGAGCCGACATGTTCAAACCCCATGTTATCGCCTTCCCAACGTCTGGCTTCGTCTGGCATGCCGACCGTGTGAGGCTTTGACTCCAAAAGAAGCACGACGGACCGGCTTCGGCCTGGCCGGTCGAACCTTGTCGTTGTGGGCTGACCTCACAAGAGCGAACCGTCGCAAAGTGGAGTGTTGCAAAGGTCTGGGTGCTTCCGGCCCAAGCAAGTCAAGTGTCAATGGCGTGGAAGCACCCTTCACCACACAGGAGACCTCCAAGGGCTGAAGGCTAAGAAGTCGTGTCGTCTCTTGAGTCGTTTGCACACTTGTTCGTTGTTTGTTGAAGAAACATGACTCTGTACTTCTATTTGTGTTTTATGCCACATGTGAAACTGAAACGACGGAGACATCGGGCCCAAAAGTCCCAACCAAGAGCCGACGGCCTTCTTGTGGTAGTTGATCGGAGACATCGGTCCAAAGAAGACCGTCACCACCATGAAAGAATCCGGCGGAATGATGCCCATTGGTCGATCCAGCCAAAACACACCTGTGCCACAAACTGGGCCAAAACAGGGTCCAAGGGGTCTAAAGGGGTCGTCCCAAGTGCAAAGGGCTGCTGGGGAGTCTGTGCAGCCTGGGCACTTGCAACAAGCACTTGCAACAAGGGGCCACGGCACTAGTCCAGTAGTCATCCAAAAAGAGGCCTACAAATAGACTCTAGACGAAAGTGGGTGGGGATGAGCGACATCCCAACTGGACCATGCCTCGCTGGTTGTCCACATTGACAAAATGATATGGTGCTGGTCGATCACTATTGTTTTCCAGCTGCAGCCTTGCACAAGAATTGAGATCTTTTCGGCCGCTCACAGCTGAAGGTGTGAAACTGAGCAGCAGACGTCCTCGATAAGACCCTCCCACTAGGAACTTCACCAAAGTTCATTGACCTGCTGATGAATGCGCAAGCAAGATAAAACAAGTAAATCATCTGCCGAGCAGTTTTTTTCCTGGCATACCATTTTCTCTACAGATAGAAAAAGCAACAAGTTAGGCGCCCTCCTGCACCCTCCTGCCTCGTTGACATGACGACACCAATTGGCTGGCAAAATGCTTTGCATGTGACGACCAAAGGTGTGCCACCAGGCGTGCTGATCTGGAAGCGCTGGCACGCATGTTCCTTGACCGTGTGGGACCTCGAGACGTGAGACACGTGTGGGACGTCGCTTGGCCGTGTGGGACGTCGCTTACACCGAACAGTGGTTGAACCCTAAGGTCCAAGACTGAAAATAGAAGGTCATCGTGAAGGTGCAATTCGGTTCCACCTGTCAACATGAGTGAAACCAATGGCAAACAAACCAAACAGCTTGCAATCCTTTTGTCATTCTTTGGGCCGCAGACCACTCCAGATTCAGGGCTGACCCAAAATGCTGATGGAGGAAGTGGCGCAGTCTGCGAAAAGCACACACTAACAGAATCTTCCCTGCATCTGTGGCAGTAAACAGGCATGCAAATGTAAAGAACAAGTCATGCAACAGCTAGCCGTTCATGTTACCCAAGTTTACTGACTGCTGCCAAGGCCAAGGGCTGGTATTCTTGACAACTGAACCCCCTCACTGCCAACCACAATCCCTAACAAGCTGTATCCTTGTGGCAAACACCTTCAGCTATCCATCTTCAGTCTTCTGCTGAATGCTGGCTCCCATTGGCGCATTTGGCGTTGAATGAATCGCGGATGCTGGTTTGTCGCCTCCAGACTGTCGTGAAGGGCACGCACATGGAACACCGCCCGAACCTGGCATATAAAGTTGACGTACGGATTACGGATTGGATGTGAAACGTGGCCTATCCAGGTGCCGTTTCGTGGTTCACCGTTTCGCTCAGCTGTTCACTGGCGTGGTGTTGAGCAGCTCCAGAGTCTGCGGCACACGCTTGCCAGGTGATACAGCACCAAACCTGACGACAAATGGAGCATCCGAGCAAAAACAAAAGCTCTGGTCGCGTTGCTCTAAGCGTTGGACTCAACTAGTGGAGCTTGACCCCCGGGAACACAAAGATGTGGCCTCAAAGACTCCAAGCACTGCCATATGGTGTCGCACTGCCTGCTGTGTGTGGAAGAAAAACGCTTGATTTGCATCACTTGGTGTGCGACATCTTGCCAACACCGGTACACTGCAAAGCATAGTTCTTCGCCTGTCAGGCAGAATCGAGTGAATTGTGTTTCACTTGTTGTCTATGTGTATATAGTATGTAACCTTGAGCGAATCGTCCGTGACTTAACCAAGGCCATAAAGCTGCACCTCAGGTACTCTTGCGCTGCTCTCTTCATCCTCTTCATCCAGCACAACAGCTGCGCTGCCCACCTAGAGACCAAAACCAGCACCCTGAAGACCCGAAATATCTCTACCATAATTGTCACAGCCCGTCACTGCCTCACATGCAATCAGGCCATCAAAAACAGAAGCGGTCTTTGGCTCGAATTCGACAATACATCGCACCTCAGCAAACAAAGACCATTCGGCAGTGGCTCTTTTGGCTGGCATAGCTAGCAGCTAGCTTTGGCAACTGAGGAGGGCTCTGACTGCCCCACTTCCACAGTTTGAGCTGGACATCTAACCGTGAATGGCGGCCTGCAGGTCTGTGTCGCTAAAAGCAGCATGAGAGCACTTCGGCTGCACCATGCCTGGCATGCCACTTCATGGATGCCTTGAGAGTGCCAGTGTTGTAAATATCTATCTGCTGCTGTGAACCTGGGCTCAAGTCGAAACAGATCCATTGCAGCGAGCAACCCAGCAGATCGTTCTAAGTGAGAGACGCTCCATTGTTGGACAAAGGCCAAAATCCAAGAAATGCGGCACAGACAAAGCCACATCCTTCACCACTGCCTGCACGAGGGGAAAACTTGCAAGTTCATGATCACACCACAGGATTTGCCTTGACAATGACGAAAAAGCTTCCTCCCTTTGTGACTATCTGTACTCTGTCCACGTGCCTGGCAAGACCGGCAAGACTGACCACTGCAAAAGTCATATTGGACTGTACAAGAATGCCAGCAGCACGGAACATACTTTGAAGGCCGAAAGCTAATTGGGATGACCTTCTTCATTCCGGGCCTCAACAAATAATTGCCGAGTGATGGGCAAGAATGCTGTCTTCTGAAGTTCAGCCTGTTATATACCTAGGTTACCTATATAAGTGTAGTGTCTTCTGTAAATAGTGTATTTATTGCAACGTGAGATGGTACCAAACTGCAGAGCAACTGCTACCAAAATGTGTACACGGTTTCAGAACTCTGACAGGAAGTATACTCAGATCACAACGCGAGCTTGAAAGGCTCTGGGTATGGCATGTCAAACTCTTTCGTAGGCGGCAACTTGAACTTTACCTGCAGAAGCTGAGTTGGAGAGGCAAGTTGAGCTTTTAAATGTCAAGACCATAAGACCCTGTGACGTACACAAAGGCAAGCTGACCATGACTGGAGGTTCCAGTAAGGCGCCTTTTGCGTCACCAGGGCCACGTTTTGCAGAACGAGGTCTTGGACACTCTCCACACCAGGCGTCCATTCATGCCACATGACCTGGTCGGTGCCCATGCGCCGTGCATCGAGCTTCAGAGCATGTTGTTCGTGTACATATCGACATGCACACTAGCGGTCACTAGCAGTCGCTAGCACCCTGCACATCACCCTTGCAACTGAAATTGCACATGAGAGCACAAATACTGTAACCTGATTATACCTAATCCTATCCTCCTCATTGAATGATCGACCTGCGTTGTCTGGACTTACATATACGCATCACATGGCTGAGTCATAGTAAGAATTGTCTTGGCACGCTTCGTCCAGCACGCCCTCCCATCCACTCGAAGGCCCTTGTAGTGCCTGGTCCTCGCAGTCAATGCCATAGAGCTGCACGCGTTCATCACGTGACAGCTGCCCGTTGTTCCCCAAATGAGGTGCCTCACCCACTCACTGAGTCAATCACTCACTGACTCAATCACTCAGTCATTCACTCACTCACTCACTCACTCAATCACTCATCACAGCGAAACCTCTGCGTTTGCACACCATGTTCATTACGAATCACACAACTACGGTACAAGCTGCATGTGCACTTCTGGTTCAAAGTGGATGGCCAGAAACACTGTGGCACAACACCAATCTCCGCATCGTCTAAGAAATGCACCATTCTTGTGTTGACGTCAGCTGATCACCTGACAGTAGAGAATTGGATGCAAAAAACTATCTCGGCCTTGCCCAGAAACTGAGGGCTGAGACCCTTTGGTGCGTCAGCAATGCGTTCGACATTAGCCCAAACTGTGTACTGGTTTCAATGTTTTTTCAACCTTTCTCTGCATTGGCTCGGGTCTAAGCAGGAGCTTGGATTCTGCAGGCTGACAATTATATACAGTAGTAGATGATGTGGCTTTAGACTCAGATTGACATGTTTGACACGTTGAAAAATGGTTGTTTTATCTTGAAAAAAAGAAGGTTCCATCTACAAGGATGCACCTGAAGTGGCACCCACTGTCCTTCCCTTGATCCGAAAGCGCGCATCAAACAACCAACCAATTGGTTGTTTTAAAACAGCACAACTGGAATGTAAACAATCGTTTATATATAGAGTGTAGTGTCGAACCAACACAGCCGGCCTATGACAATTGGTGAAGCGTTATGTTCTGAAAACAGCCCGTCACCTGGAACTCAAAGAACAAACTTGGTTGCTGGTCTTCTGGAGCAAGTGATGAACGTTGGGAAGTTTGGACATTGACCTCTTTTTTGTGCGGAAATTTTACAAAACACAGTTTAAATACTTGTTGGATGTACAGGCATCCTTTTTGGAGGGTTTGATGCAGTACAGGTTTGACCTGGATGAGGTATTGTATTTGCTTGGATCGTTGTTCAACCACTCCGACAATCGTTTTCTGCTGATTTCGTCAACATTTACTTGTCCTTTGCACACACCTGGCACATTGAATTGCTTTGCATGCACCTTGGTGGGTGTTGGCTCGTTGAATCTTTTTCAACGAGGCCCAGACCTCTATTTTTACACCTAGTTGCTACCTAGCTGATACACAACTGATGGACATCCACATAATCAGTTATTGCACATCAAAACAAAAAACTGCACAAGATGTTTTTGCGCAAAACAGTTTTTGATTGCAGCACGACTCACGCCACGCAAAATGTCACAAATACGCACTCGAAAACGTCTTTGGAAAATAAACTGTTGTTCGGGTCCCGGGTGGCTCAAAACTTCCACAAAAAAACATTTGCCAGCTTTGCGGGTGAATTGATGTGAACTGCACTTTAAGAGTTCATGGTGTTTTGCTGTCTTGCAGCTTTGCATGTCTGATAATGTAACGCACTTCTGTTTGCGTCTCTCGGGCCATTGGTAAGTACAAATACTGAGAACAGGTTGTGATCCTTTTAGCACCCACATTTTCAGCCTGTATATGTACGCTGTGATACCTCCATGTGCATTCTCAACCATGTATGCTATGCATCTATGATTGGAAACTTGTTCACTGCTGTCACGCTGACTGAATGCACATTGCGCACGGCCTCAAGGCTCTCGCGACCCTAGTCTGAATCTGGCCACAGCTGTAGTGGTGATATCACTGTCCATTGACAGTGGTCAACCACTCCTGCCGCTCTAACGTGAAGCATGCTTGGGCCAGACGATTCGCAACCCAATCGACAGTTTCCCGTCGTACTTTTCCTTTCTCTTCTTCCATAGCTCGGCAGCACTCTTGGCTCGTTCCACGTCTTCCTTCAGACGCTCAAACTCCTGTTCCTTTTCACTTAGATGCTGCCATCATTTCCTTCTCTTTCAACAGCTGCACGTACTGCTCTCTCAGTACATCTCGTTCACCACGTAGATCAACATTCTTGCCTTGATGATCCGGTGATTGCTGCGTCCACATGTCTCTCTCTTCTTTCAACTCCTTCACTCCTTCTTATTGTTCTGCGTAGGCTGCCTCAAGCTGAATGATTTTCCACTGCATTTCCACTTTCTCGTGGTCACTCTCATACTCAGCTTCTGACGGTTGTGATGGTGCACCTGCCTTTGCCTGCTTCCAGTTCATCAGCTGTCTCACTTCCTTGAATCCCCACCGTGCCAAGCTCAATGTTCCAACAGCTGAAAGAACCACCACTGTGAAAAATGCACGCGTCCATCGCAACTCATCTCCATTCTCTGCACTGACTGCTGCCTTTGTTGCGTTGACGCCCACTGCGCTGATCTCCTTTATCTCATGCCCTTGGCTGCTTTGCAACAATGCCATTGCAATGATCATAGCAACTTTTGCATTGCCACCCAAAGCCTTTGACACCGTTCCAACATTCTTATTCATATCTTCTTTCGTCTTGATCTCTTCATACTCTTCACGGCCGATCTTCTCATCATCTCCGTCGATCGATTGATCAGGAATTTCAAGCCCTTTGTTCTGGCTTTGCTGAGAAGCTTGGCGTCGATGTCGCTTGTGCTGGCTGAAGTTGGGATTCCGGTCACTCTCAGTTCTTTCTCATTAACCTTCTGCTGTAGCCATAGCAAACCTGCTGCACATTGCCTTATACAACCCACGCCAACACGCCCTGCTAAGGATCTAGCTGCTGAAGAGTCACTGCGGCATACCATGTCGACGCCCTCCTCATTGCCAACAGTCTTTGATGAACAAACCTTCACTGCAGCCTCCAACCATAGCCACATACTCACTCTCACCTGATGAGAGGGCGATGGATCGTTGGCACCTCACATAGCTCTCCATCAGACAACCATTCAAGTAAATCTGAACCGAGCTCACTGATCCACGTGTTTCACGCTGTCCAGCGTAGTCAGCATCACAGATAGATTCCAACAAGTGATTGCTGCCACCATCACTCCACTCATAGACATCTTCTGTAGTTTTCAACACACTCTTGCCGTGCTGTCCATGTTCCAGCAACAATCCTTTTTGCATTGTTCCCAGGAGAAACGAGCTGACATGCTGCATTGCTTGCCATCCCATCTTTGTTAGCCGCTGCATCGATGAAGCTTAGCCCTGAGCCACACAAACTGAACATCTGGGCGGTCAGTTGCAATGTACAAAAGTTTCCCCACTGCATTCCGGTATTGGGTCACCTGGTCTGCTGGCATAGGTTCATCGTCCTTCTTCAACTTCGTGAAATTGCCATCTCCAGGCGTCGTCCTTGGTTTTCTTCCTTCAACCTTTGTCACTTGGGCTAACTCCTTGATATGCTCGTGATCTGGCCTGATCGTCACTCCATTCTCGACAATCTCCATGTTCCCCTTGAGGTACTGAAATGGCCTTGCATACAATGGTCCACGCTTCTCAATCTTCCACGACTTGTTCTCCATGAACTTGAGGAAGCGCAACAAGCAAGTCATCAATGTGGGTGGTCAAATAAAGACCCCTCTTGCTCTTGCCTTCTCCAGGTTTTGCTGACCTCATCATTGTTGGCTGCATGACATCTTGCTCAAGCCCCAATTCTCGAGCCACAGCGCAAAACCCTTTGGCTGGACAAGACGAAAAAGCCTTTTGGTTTGGTTTGGAGAGCAAATTGGTTTTCGCATTTTTGGGGGGCACATCTTGAGTTGGTGCGTGTGCCTGAAGATTGGGACATGCAGTTTCTATGCAAAAACGACTGTCCACACGAGAAACAACTCTTTCAATTTGTCAAGCGTCTCAAATCTTGCATGACGACTCTTCCGCTGCAGTCGGCCCGAAACTTTCATCATTTTCCTCTTTTTCAAAGAAAAAAGTGTGGACAGCCTTGAACACAAAAAAGGACGTTTCATCAACGACAACGTTCACTTGCTCAGCTGGAAGGGGTGTGTTTGCAGTTCACATTGAAAACGTTTTGCCACAACCCAGCGTTGACTCAATTTGTTTCTGGAACTTGCAGTTCGGATCAATTGGGGAACTCAATCTTGACTTAGATCATTGTTCAAGTTGAGGTTGGTGCGCTTCTTCGAGCAGTGTTCACCCGGGTTGCAGTTGAATCAACCACAATTCAACTTTTTGGCAAAACAGAACTGAACTGGAGACCCCGTGACAGATGGAGCTGCACCAGAAAAAAACAGAAACTTTATCTCTAAAATGCAACACCGCGCATTTTTGCCGAATGGTCTCTTCATTTTTTCGTTGATAGAAAAGTTCAATGACGCGCCAAAGAGAGGTTGATGATGAAGCACTGCAAACGAGCCCAAACATTGAACAAAATTCAATAGAAGGCGATGATGTGCCGGGCAAGAAGATGCTGCAGCTGGAGGATGAAGGCATCGAGAGAAGATCAAGGAGAGACCACCGGAAGTGTTAGAGGAAGAATTGAGAGCTTGAACTGCAGGCGTGCAAAGTTGAGGAAGAGCCCCTGGGCGTGTTGGAGAAGCTCAAAAGGAGGAGAAGCAAATGAAGAAGGCTCATGGGGGCTTGCTTCCAAGATGGTGATCGCATGGAAGCACAGAGATGAGGGAGGTTGGTTTCGACGAACGCGACTGGTGGGCCGGCAGTTTGGTTTCGTAATGTATGTTGTCAATGTGTTATGCAGACTTGGCATCCCTAAGAACCACGTGTTTCTGCAAGCAAATGCGCTAGATTGATGGTTTTGCAAAATTGCGCAACGCGTGGGATGCCTATTATCAAAGAGGACAGGTCAAGCTGTCTTCCGTTGAGGAGGCGCCAATGCATTTACAGTAAGCTCTGGGGAATACCAATTTCATGGTGAGCCATCATGCAAACAGTCCCAAAAATGAACCGAAAACCTGTGAACAACAGAAACATTGAATTGAGAGTGCCCAAGGTCATTTGCTTTGTGGTATGCGTGTGACATCGCATTGGCGCATGACCAAGGAGACCGGAAGACGCTGGTGGTAGAAAAAGGGCGTCCATAGAAGCGTTTCTTGCTTGTACGAGACCAATGACAAAGTGGATGTGGATTAATTAGGTGTGAACCATGCCGCCAACCTATGTCATGCTCTTTACACGCTAGATGTGAAGGATGCATTTGCAAGTTGATGGGTCAGCCTGCAGATGAGAAAGCCACGATCATCACAGAGAATGGCAAGTACAAGTTGAACAAGAATCTGCCAGGGCCCAACCAAAAAAACACACCAAACATCGTCCCCTTCAAGTTCAATCCTCCGTGAAGAGGACTCCAAGCGCAGGATCCCCTCTGCGACAGGCCAGATCTTCCATGTCGTCACCTTCCAAATCCACAGTCTCCGGCAACCCTCGGAACACGCACAAAGACTGAACCTGAAAAACAGCTTGGTCTCCTCCAACCGTCTCTGGACACTCCAGAAACCCTTCCTGGTTCCTTCCACGCAAGCAAGACACAAGATCTGCCTCAGATCCCTCAAAAACCTCTGAAAAAACATCCGAATCCGCATCCCGACCTTTGGAAAAGAACTTAGAATTCAAATTTAGAAAGACGAGTTCGATCCAACCTCCGAGCTGCATTGCGCACGCAGTTGGAACAAAAAGGTGGATCTTCTTAGCAGTGCGAAACTTTGGACAACGGACTCAAACATGCACAAAAAATGTTCAAGAAAGATTCACTCTGCAAAAGCAACAAAGAGTTCTTTTTTGCGCGAGTCGAGCCGCCATTCATGCAGGAAGTGCACAGGTCAGCTTGCGCAGTATTTGGAAGAGTCTCCTCAGTGAAAAAGGGCCAAAACAAAACCAAAGGACACAAAAACAACAACAAGAACACGGGGCAGGAGACTCTTGAAAGTTCTCTTGAATTTACATGCATGGGTGAGACAGAGAGTGAAACAGAGGTTGGGCAATGAATTAGAGCAAAAAGGCCACGAGATTGGCCATCCGAGATGCGGTACGAACTGCTTGCTGGCACGTCATGACACTTGGTCAATAGGCCTGCTTAAGCAGGCTGTGTCATCGAGCACTAATGAGCTGTGTTTTTGCACACATTTGTGGAATGGCAGTCGAAGAAAGCACTTGAAGAGGCACTGGCAGACTAGTGGCGAAATGTGACAAACTGCGCTTGAGACAAAGTGCATTCAAAGGAACTGGCCCTGGACAAGTTGACAAGCCAGCTCAAACGCGCTCTGCGAGAGGGCACATCATTGTCAACAGTGCGGCCTTTTGTTGTTGTTCGATGTGTTTGATTGTCTCTGAAGTTGAGGTGGGCAGTAGCAAAGGCACATCCAATGGGCAGGAGCATCCGAAGACTCCTGCAGCCTCCCTCCACAGGAGTGAGGGAGGTAATGCCACCCCGCCGCGGTGCACCCGGTAGCGGACAGTTGAGTTGAACATCGTGTTGGCAGCGAGACATTGTGTCCTGTCATGCAGTAAGGCGTGCAGTGCCCATGTAAACCGGCTTGGATGGTGTTTGATTGGGCATGCAACCCAATTGCGGGCAGCTTCACTGCCAGTGCACAGGGGTTCCCTTCTGGGGGTCCTTCAGAGGTTCCTGGAACTGCGCCAGTGGCTCACGACATAGACCTGAGCAAATCGGAGTGTACAAGCTAGGAATGCCACAGGCGAGTCCGGCAGTGAGGGCAGTGAGAGCGGTAACCCTAAACCCTGAACCCTCCTGTTCCTTCGGCTTGTGAGTGTGATTGACGCAGGATAAAAGTAGGTGTGAGTCCAACTGATTTGCGGTAAGTCATGGCAGCTTTCAAACCCAAAAGCGCTTGCGCCATAGTTGCATGGGATTTTTTTTGCACGAGTGGAGGCGCTGTGTGTGCAGGTTGTGCACAAGTCACCTTAGTCGAGTGAATATAGAGCTACCAGCCAGGTTGCGACCCAACAGAGAAAGGAAGAAACACAAACAAGCCCCCAAACACACAAACCCAACAAACACCCAAAAACCACCAGAAAGGGAGCAACCTGTAGAGTAACTCGAAGTGCCATGAAGGCATGAAGAGAGGTGAAGCAGGGGCAGTGAATTCAGCAAAGCACTCAGAAGTTCTTGTCCATCGACGAACTGGCAAACGAGTGAGCAAGAGCAGGCACATCAATGCAAGATCTGCTGCCCACAGAAGTAAACATCAAACTTCTGCGGTTGATTTATTGCAAGGATCTTGCTTGGACAGGCTTTGCATCAGAGCACGAAAGAGTCCCATGACCGACATCAATGTGCGCTTACATGCATGGTCCAAAAGATTTCATCTTGGACTCGTTTTAAGTCAGATAGCCTGCTTGACGGCTGGCAGCCACGAGCCTCGTGCAAGCCAAAGAGTGACTATCTGGGAAGACCACAGTCCCCATGCTCGGAATGTCCAACATACCGATAGTGAAGACCGTGTAATGCCACTGGCGAGCTTTCAAAAAGAGGCTAAGGGAGTTGCTTCTCCCGTACCTCCCCCCGAGGGGGAGGCATCAAAGGCAGCACGTCAAACACTCCACTCCAGAAACGGCTCATCACTGAGAGCAAAGCAAGACATGCTGCATGGACGGCGAATGAAGGCGGGGGAAAGGCAAAATCCTTGAAGTGTGCTGCAAAAATGTCGCAATTGGAAATCTGACTACATCTTTCAAACGCAGCCAGGTATGATGAGGCCGATACATGCAGGGCCCCGTGAACTACTCGAA